AATCATCTTTCTTGATACGAATAACTTTTGTGTAACAATCAACTGCTTTCTTTATCAACTCTTCTTCCGGTATCTGAAGTAATTCTGGCATATTCCAGTTATACGCCCGTGGCATTTTCTTTTCTTCGGGGACTTTTTCTTCTTCTTTTCTTCTTCAGGATTATATGAATTACAGAATGGATGTTCAACATGTTCATTCACAGTCGTAACTTCCTCCTCATTTTCATCAACATTACATTCTTCGGCAACGGCTGTTTCATCATCAAAATTCGGGTATTGACCAATATCAATATCATTACACGCATGGTCTGTTTCTTCTTCTGAAACATCATCAAAATCCGTGTATTGACCAATATCAAAGTCCGGATATTGACCAAGACCAAATTTCGAATACTGACTAGTACTCACAATTTTTTCTGTTGGCTCATCATCGTCTAACTGGTCAATACGAAAACCGGAATTTGGTGCTGAAAGTTGATTGGGATTTGGATTAGAGAAAGGTTGTGGGTTTTGAGAAAAACTTAGTTGATTACTACCCGCTACTGACCCAACAATACTACTTCTAGGTTCAACAACATACAATGTAACATCATCTTGTGAAACCCTAATGTAAGCAATGAATCGTTCAACATCTTCATTGTCGGTTAACAAATAAACTTTACCATTTCTCTGATAAGATAGCCTAAATCCACTTAGGGGCTCTAAATTCAATTTATTTGAAACACGTAGCATTAGAGTTTCATAAGTTAACTTTTGTAAAGACAATTTTAGTTGAAGATTCATGGGTAAAGGCATATATTGTAAAACACCATGAACATTATCCCATGACCCTCCAAAACACAAATCTATCCAAACATGATCAACATTAGATGATTTCATGGTTGTAAATTAATTTACTAAACAGACGAGCTGCGAAACTAAAACCTGTTGCCGGATTGGGAAGGATGTCGTTGGATATAGGAACGGATGTCGCCGGAGAGAGTGATAGATGGAGATGGAATGAGTTGCGATTTAGGGATTTAGTTTATGATTTCAGTGTTATATACCCAAAATTTCAGTGTTGTGATTTACAGATTCTCGTTGCGATTTACGGATTATCGTTGCGATTTACAGATTCTCGTTGCGATTTACGGATTATCGTTGCGATTTACGGATACGCGTTGCGATATACGGAAACGCGTTGCGATTTACCCATACGCGTTGCGATTTACGGATACACGTTGCGATTTATGTGTTCGCGTTGCGATTTTCATATTCGCGTTGCGATTTTGGAAAATCGCAATGCGAATTTGACTATCGCATTGCGATTTTCAAGAATCGCGTTGCGATTTTAGAAACTGATTTTCGATTCTGGGGATCGCGTTGCGATTTTTATTTCGCGTTGCGATTTTGTTGGTCATTTTGGCAAATCCAAAAAAAGTTGGTTAAAATCGTATATTATAACTTTTTTTTGGTCACTGAGGCGATTTTCTCTTTGGGAAATTTGGTTTGTTTTCGGGTTCGGACTGCAATCTAATATTTGTAAATAATTTTAGTTTAGAATTGAGTTTGGCAGCCGACAAGAAGTAGAACTGAAATTGGCAGCTACGTGGTAGTAAAAAAGTAAAGACCATGTAGGCCGCCAATAGGAAGAAGCATGTGGGCAATTAATTAAAACTTCGGCTTTGGATGCTCCATTCTTTTGTCGGCTGTTTTTTTATTGGTCTAACGGAAAGTTGATTATACATAATTGCCTTCTTCGGGGGGGAAAATAATAACTAAATAAGTACACGTGCTATGTTTTTATTTCTTCAACACTGCCATCTAATCATCAACCTACCATCTATTCGAAGTTGCATTTCAAGGCTTCAATCACATATTACTTTTATTTTAATATTATCTCCAATAATAATAATATAATTATAGAAATTTCCACGTCAAGCAGTCGAGAATAAAGCATTCGTCACGTAGATGAGTTCGTATTACGCGTGGCATTTAGCAAGTAATTTTGTATAAAGCATAGTATAGAAAAAGACCACGTGACCTGACACGAAGGATGCTGGGTCCCATATCTAGTGTGACTTTGAGTTAATAATAACTGTCGGTGGCGGAAATTACTAATAAAATATTGATATTTTCATTAACCAGAAATAAAATTTAGAAAAACGGTGATGCGATCGCCCAATTAAATACTCCATCAAAGAAACCTCAAGATAAGATATAAGCAGATCGGGTGGTTCATGCGGGAACACGTGTCATGAGACTGGGCCATGATGTTTCATTTTTTGGTTTTGAACCGCCTGTGACCGGTGTGATTTGTCATTTATCTCTCGCTTTCACAAAGCTGTCTCCCAAAAGAAAGTGTCTGAAGGTGATGTGAGGTTTTAATGATTAATTACATTACTTTTTTCAATTAAAAATAGAATTCGGTCGGGGGAGGAAAATTGGGTTTATAAATTTATTTCAAAATCAGACAAGATAAACCCAAGTTATCTGAGATTGATTCGGTTAAAATTTGATAAATATTTATCTTGAATAGATTCTACTTGAGCTCAAGTTTGATTAAAATTTTTAACGAGTTAAAACGAATTATTTAATATTCGACTAAAAAATTTATAAACAACTCAAAAATATAATATATTAAGATTTTATTTTTTTTAAAAATGAAATATTAATAATATTAACATTTTATGTTTTGATTTTTTTAACAATGAAGAATAAGATTTTCATGTATTTAAGATTTAAATTTGAGTTTAAGTTTGAGGCTCCGAGTTAAGTTTTAAAAAAATCATTTTGAATTTTTACGAGCTTCAGTTCATAATTGAAAGTTTTCGAGTCGATTTTGAAAATTTTAGACTCTTCTTCATAAATAATAAGAGTGAAATATAAAAAAAAAATTAAATTATTAATATTTAATTTTTTAATAAATTAGTTTGAATAAAGTATTATATTAATTAATTAGAAAAACAATTCTTTTATTTTAATTTAATTTACTTTATCTTAACATACAGATTCAAATTACTTACTAACTTTACTAAAAAAAGTTAATATATCATGATATTAACCAAACTGATTATTTATTATGAAATATGAATTCTCCAATCGTGTAGTCTAAAACTATTGTATTGTGACAAGATAGAGTTGTGTAAAAACCACTGAAATTTTGTATGAACCATATAGATGTAGTGATGATTTAATGATTCATTGGGTATTTGAGCCCATTCAGAACCTATTGGGCATCGAAGAGAAGGTAAGGAAATGAAAGAGTTGAGACAGATATTTAAGAAAGCCCACATGACAGTTACTAATTTTATTTCTTCTATATCTATTTAAGAAAGCCCACATGGAAGTATTTATTTATTTTAAATATTTAAATATTTTGAATTTTAAATAAATAATTGTAAGATTTTAAAAATAAATAATTCATATTTTTTTTTTCTAAAAACAATTAATTAAGGCCTTAAAAATGATGTTGGCTGGACTCCACCAGCACGACCGTGCTATTCCAGCTACTGTCAAAGAACTTAGCATTACTTGCGTTGCAAGCGATGAACTTAAACTGTTGTCGCCTCTGCCACACCATAATCTTTGGCAGCATCATAGTTGAGCACTGTTCAATCAACAAAAAGAAAATATACATCGAGTTGTTTTGTAGATGTCAACACAATATATTTCCTACAAGGCCGGCCCAATACATGTGCAAGATGAGCGACAGCCCAGGGCAGCATGTAGGGCCGGGGTATCAGGTTGGACCATTACAAAAGTGAAGCTGTTTTGCAGGTGATGGCTCTTTTGAGTGGATTTGCTGGAGTCTACACTGAGGTAAAAAAAATTAGATACGTGTTTCATTTCTTCTTTTTGAAGTTGTAACTTGTTTTTGGATGATTATTTACTGTTAAGGTGTTTCGCCGATGTTGCCTTATTTGATTCTGATTGATTTTAAAAAAAAAACATAACCGTTGGGTTTTCGTTAGAGTTTTTGGACAAAATGAGTTAATGGGTATCCTTTGGATGATGTTACTAGCCTGAAAAAAAGTTGCATTCTTTTTCTTTGGGTGAAAAGTATTGAGATTACACCAATCTGGATTATTTGGGTGATGGGTGAAAAGTATTGAGATTACACCAATCTGGATTATTTGGGTGATGGGTTTTTCTTTTAGAATATTCGAAAGCATGCCTTTTTTGTTTTCTTTATTTACATCAATGTCTTTTGATTTCTATTTGCATAAAGTAAAATAGAAATGAGTTTTCTGCAATGTAGTTTTAGTTGTAGAAAAATCGTAAAACTTAGGCATAAAATGTATTAAGTTCTCATTTCATCTCGAATCAAAACTTTATGAGTTTAGTTCACTTTGTTTAACAAATCTAGTTTTTATAGTTTGATTGTTTGAATTTTGATTGTGTAGTGACAAACTTAGTTTGATGGAAAAAAAACTGTAGCTAAATATTTTCGTTCAAGATATATTTTAGAGTGATTACTTCTGATTATTTTGATTTCATCATTAATTTTCCAGATCAATTGATTGTGAGAAATAATAAGTAAGAAAGAACAAGTCAACAACATAAACTTCAGTCACCGGTCAGGTTGTATCTTTCCTTGCTAATATATCTGTTTTATTATTTACTTGCTATTATATTTGTTTTATTGATTACTTTTAAATATGTTACCTCAAAAACAACCATCGGTTGTCCAAAATAGAAAACGAAAAACAAGAACAAGAAATACGGTACAAGTATAGGGGCATAAAAAATATTTCTTGTCCAGGGCATTAAAATTCATTGGACCGGCCCTGTTTCCTAGAATCTATGGCAAAAGGAACAGGCCTAAAGGATCATCTAGCTTTATGGACTTGCTACGAACCCAACTATAGTAGTTAACAACCGTTCGTCAACCAAGCTGCGGCTGGTCACCAACTATGGAATTGGTAGGGATGCCCCAATATCATCATAGTATTGTACTTCTTCAACTATGGAATTTATAGCCAACCGATTATTGATCAAACTATAATTTATTCAAATACCATACAAACACAATCATCTATATGACAAATTTAAAAGAAAAGGTATGTTGATTAAATTGAGAGTTCATCACCAGTTACAATACTCCAATCCGGTATCTTTAACATCAAACGTTGAAATCCTGAGCGGCAGAAATAAACATTAGAACAAGGGGCTGGCTCGGATGAGGAAGTGATTCAAATGAGGGTCTCCCAGTCTGCATACACCCAAGTGAAGGGGAACAAATCTCTTATCCAAAGCTCATCGGTGCTATTGCTTTACACTGAACGAAGTTTCAATGCGTTGAATGAGCTGATCAGAACCCAAGGCACCCTCCTGATCATCATAACTCAAACAAGTCAAAAATAGTTGGATTAGAAACCAGATGGGTTGCATAAGGATTTAGAAACAACACAAATTAATTGGAAGAGAAAATTGAAATTCATGATTGGTGCAGCCTATTAGTGAGATTAACTGCAAAGATTACACAAAATGAACCTCCCATCCCAAGCAATAAAATGTCATCTCTATTGCTTAAACTTAAAGAAAAGAAAAGTTACAGTTGTAAATAAACCAGGAGGGGGGCAGTAAGAACCATATGTATAAACCTGAATCATTCACAATTTCACAATAACTGCATAGCACAAGCATCCCAAGGCATTAAAAGATGAACCAGAAAAGGTTTTCTACAAGTGTCTCGTAAAAGGAAATGATATGTTTTTCTTCCCGGAAGTTTGTCTGACTCTGATCACTCACATAAAAAAATGGCCTTTTCAATTTTATTTCATTACATCCCCTGCTGTTAGGAGTTAGACCATTTTCAGATTGCACAATTAGGCCTACATAGCAGCACTCCTCAAACAATCTTTGGCATTTTCACCTCATAAAAACTGGCTTAACTTCTAAGAAAGAAATGTTCAAGCGAGTATAAGTGTACTAAACCATCTTACAAAACGATCAAAAGGCTTCCCATCTTTAAATAGGATGAAAGTAGGCAATCCTTGTATCTCATATTTATCAGCAATACTTGGGTACTTCTCGGTGTCGATTTTCACAAATCGAATCTTATCATTCAGAGTGGCACTAACTTCCTCAAGGACCGGAACCATGAATTGACAAGGTCCACACCTACAAAACCAGACATTCTTTCATAGAATTTCAAGCCTTCAACAGAAAATCTACTTTTTCGTCTAAACTTACATACGTTTATGAATTAGGTTTCGCATTCAATTGAATTCTTTTTTTAAGGGGGGGGGGGGGAGTTACCAGGTTGCATAGAAGTCAACCAATACAGGCTTCTTGGAATTCGCCAACAAATCATCAAAGGATTTAAATGTTTCCTTCTTTGCTTGAACCTATAGAAATCATTTGTCAAACCTGTCAAAATTATCATTCTACAAAACATATTCTACTTAACCTACAACTTAAGATAAACATAAAAAATAGCAATAAAATTTCACTAAGTTGATTTAGCCTTGACTTGAATAAGATGAACTAATTGAGTTTAAACAAAAAAAATGATGTTCGCACTCAATTTATGTGATGAAATTGAGAAGACAAAAAAGAAAGTGATAGCAACAGTAGTAAAGCGAGAAGGTATAAACGCGCTCTTACTTGCAGAGGACGATAGCGAGAGGAAACTGATCCATTAACGAATCGAATGGGTTGAAATCGAAGAGAAGACGAAAAAGATAGGTTGAAAGAACAATAATAAGGGGAGACGGAGAAACCAGTTGAGCTTCGTCGATTCAGTGCATGAACAGTTGCTGATGCGGAAAGTGAGATCGACATTTTCCCGTAATTTGAAGAATCCGATTTCCAATTCCAGAAAATGTCAAAAGCTTAGCTTATCTGCTGTTTGGGTGTAGATTTTTAATCCGGAAGGGAAAAATATCTGTATGGTTTGGTAAAAGAGAAGAATACGAAATCGAGGAAATCCATGTGTTGTGTGTGGTTACTTTTCTGGTATTATACGTGGAATCATAATTATAGCAAGTGGATGTTACTGCAACGACGAATCTAAAAATTTAATAATAAGAGTATAATTTTAATTTTTTTTAAATAATGAGGAGTAGTTTTTTATTTTTTAATATATTATATTAAATTTCAATTTTTTCTTTAAATAATAAGATACACTTGAACTCTTTAAGTATTTAATGCATGCCCCTACCTGGCTGTATTAGATTGTTTAACTTTGGAATCTCGACTATATTTGAGGTGACCTACAGGATTGGAATCTCGACTATATTTGAGGTGACCTACAGGCCTTCTGATGAAGAATGTTGTATCGGATCTAAAATTAAATTTACATTATGTGACGTGTCGCTACAGTGAATCCAAATCCATTAGCAAAAAATAAATTATACGGTACATCCTCTCATCACATTAGCATGATCTCAACTAATTAAAATAGCACGAATTAATTTATCTAAGTGGTTAAAGAAATTATTGTTATTTTTAGAGATTATGAATTCAAACACCAACGACTGCTACAGATTAATTAAACGTTCATTATCAGATGATTGAAAATATTTAGAACAAATATTACTTTGTAATTACATTAGCTTAACAAAAAAAATTAAAAAAATAATTTATTTCACACATATATATATATATATATTTGATAGAGTTAATAACACAACAAAATTGTTTGTTCACACGAATGATTTAATTTGTTCATATTTTATGTGTATTATTAATGTAAATTTTTTACGGATTTTTTTAAAATATCAAGTCAATTGATCAATATTTATTATTAATTAACAATAATAAAATTACATGATAATATTTTTAAAATATCGTTTCATAAAACTAGAAAATATTGTTACTAGAAGTTAAGATAATTTTTAAAAAATAATATTATCTTAACCAAATTAATATATTAAGTCTATTATAATATAAATTTATAAATATAAATCATGAAACGAGATAAAAATAATAATATGAAATGTGATGCAAATATACAAACATATTAAATTTATATGGAATATTATTAAATTATAAAAATATATAAATTTTAGTTTAAAAGATTATAAAATTTAGATTAAATTACACCGATCATCACTAAATTTTACTCTCTCCTATTTCATTAACTGTACTTTAAATTCGTTTAATTTCCTCACTGAATTTAATACAATTAGTATTTTTGGTCACTCAACCTTTAATATTTAACGGCATTAGAACGACGTCGTTTTAGAAAAAAAAATTCACCAAAAAGACATTGTTTTGCATCTATCTAATAGCTCATTTATGGCATCTTTAGTGAGAAAATGACTGAGTGGTCGAAAATGCTAACTATGTTAAATTCAGTGAAGAAATTGAACCGATTTAAAGTACAGTGAGTGAAATAGGAGAGAAAATAAAGTTTAGTGACGATTGTTGTAATTTATCCTAAAATTTATTATCTTAAATAACAGAATTGTCGAGGCATGCTAAACAATTTTTTTTTTCTGAATTAAATAATTCTAACAAAAATATAACTTTACTACGTAATTATTTTCCTTGAGTACATGTTACTATTATTTATGTAGGGTATACCATACAATTAAAATCATCCAATTGCACCACATCAATAGCTAATAATGATATTAGCGGTTGATGAAAATTAAATCAACATTGAAATTCCATAAAATTATGCTTGACAACTTGGATTTCAAATTTTGATTTTTTATAACTACTGAAATTTAATTTATTAATGGAGTAATTTAAATTGAACACTATAGTAACTTGTTATAAACACTCCATTCACAACATCATGGTTCAAATTTTAGATTTTAGATTTTAGATTTTGATTTCAGGTATAATATATGTAACACTATATTTTAAAATGTAGCAAATATTTTCCAAATTCATAAATTTGTTAGATTACTATTTAATAGTGAGTTTGAAATTCTTGATATAAATTTGGATTTAATAAACCCATATTTTAAAACTTTTCAACTATACGTTTGAATTTTAAATATTTATCTATATGTATTTCACTCTTTCCATTTACAAGATCACAATTGCTGAAAGGAATCAACTGAAAGGAAACAAGAACACGGGCAATTGATGACCAAAAAGAAAGAGAACTGAACAGCTACTGGAAGGGTAATGGTTATTGCTATCAAAGCAAGCTTTACAAATGATGACAGCAGAAAGACTAATGCCATTTCACACTATGGGGGAAATCTAAAACTCATGCAATTTCCTACTCTCAACTTCTCTCAAAGCCGTGAATGTAATGAACAAATACTTGAAAAAATTGATGTCTATATAATCTATGAATTCCACAATCCGCAAGGAATGCAGCACAGTTTTCCAATTTGTAGAAAGAGACTCTGTAAAGGGTTTGGATGATCATTTCCCTCCGACGGTGCAGTAGGCAACGGTAGCTCCGGAGGCAAATGCCGGTGAAATGCATCGACTGCAGCAGCAACACCATCCTCGTTTTCTATCAATTTTGCCAACTCCATCGCATGGGATTTCACCTGCAAGAAACCAGGTTCCTTTGAAAAGCTCCAACGCGAGTCTAATTATCATTAGCATATGGAAGGTAGGACTCCACATATCAGAAAAATGTCCAGTGGAAATGGACTACGATGACGATCATAAACTTGTTAGCTGGAAGAATGATGCTGAACATGTAAAGCTTTTTAACAGCAGCGCAAAGACGGCACTCTTGGAGTAAGCAAATTTAAATCACCACGAAAATGGATAGAATAGAAAGTCATTTCTAAACTCTTTTGTTTTATTATTTTCCTCCATAAATAAAAACGGCACTTTTAAGCACCCTCGGCTCCTTAGGTATTCCTCCAGATCCAAACTAGCCTTTACCGAATTGGGAAAGGCAAATTCAATATGCCATGAAGCATTTTACTTTCCCTTAGCTTTTCAACTTTCACATATTTTTTCAGGAAACAATGAAGTATGCATCAATTCAAAATGAAAAATTACCCAAAAAAAACAGAGATAAAGAAAGAAAATTACAGCATTCTAATCCAAATCGGACAACTTTCATCTATGAGTCTCTTTACAGCAGAGGAGCATGCGACTGCTCAATATATTCCTCGGTTGTTAAGACAATTATAGTTTCCAGAAGTTGAAATGTTCTTACGAAAGCAGTATTTAAGCAATGGCTATAACACATTTGACATTCAATGGAAGGCTATATTTCAAAAGCAGTATTAAGAGTAACGATTTAGAATTAGATGCTTGCCAAAAGAGTATGCATAAAGGTTTTAAAGGAGACAGTTTTGAGGGTGAAAATAACTGCTCTCATATATCATAAAGTATTAAAAAATTTTGGCAACAAAAAGTTATAGAATAATTACCTCAGCATCCATCAACTACATATATCGGGTGATGATTCTACATGGATGTCGTAATCAATAAGTGATTGCTAATGTGTAAATCAGATTAACTTAATGTGATGAATCAGATTAACTTTAGCAAACAAAAGCTACTTTAGTTACCTCTGTCTGGAGCATGAATCTGATAGCATTTGAAAGCTTCTCAACACTGAGCTCTGATATTGGTATTGGTGCAGGTCCAAGCCCTCTCTGGTGTACTCTATCACCCCAAAAGAACTGATCTCCGAAGAATGGCACTATTGTCGTTGGGCACTAATAATTCAACATTTGGCATTTAAACAAAATTCAGATTACAAATACATAAGACCCATTAGAAGGTTAAATTACCCCGGCTTTAAGTCCCGTGGCTGTAGTTCCAGCACCACCATGATGCACCTGCATATTTATGGAACCATTTTTAACAGAAAAACGAAAAAAATTTCAAAAAGATTATGAACTCTTCATCACTGGACACACTTGCTACATTCAGGTGATCTTAACATCAGATATCTGGTAGTTTTTTCAATTCCAAGAAAATCATATTGCAGTTGTTAAATGTCAAAGAATCCCTTCAAACCAAGCAAACATGGAGCTGGACTAATTAAGTGCTTACCACTGCTGAACATTGAGGAAACAACCAATCATGAGGGCAGTCTTCCAGGAGGAAAATATTCTCAGTAACTTCAGCAACTACAGGACAAATAAAATATAAGAAAAATCTGCTTGTCATTTTGAATACTAGTACAGGTCCCGTAATGTACAAGGCCAATTACAACTTCCACAGGTAAGCACTTATAAGGACATAACATCCATTTGCCAACAAGTGTATCTCAATAATGACTAAAATTCGGTTAAGAGCATTTTGAACAACAAGTTCCAATTCCGAGATTCAAGATAATGACGAAATTCAACTGCTCTTACATTGTCAAAGTAAACAATGATATCAAATCCAAAATAACAACATACTACAAATAAATGTGAAAACACAACAAAATAGAATACCTTCTACAACCAGAAATGAGCTCTCAATACATTAAGGTAAGGATAAGCGAACAGCATGCAAAAGTTACTTACGGTGCCCTAGATCTCCCCAACCTCGGTCAATTATTCCTCTTTGTCCTGTATCTTTTAATGCCTCCAAAATAACATCTGTTGTTTTCTTGGAATCATCAAGTGGCTTCACAGGCAATACAATAGATTATTTGAGTATTTATTTTTCAGGAGAAGTACAAAAGCATATATCAGTAAAATGATCCTCATTAACTTCCACCTCAAGAAATTTTTTTTGGCATGTCTTCCAATTCAGTTCAGCTCTGATCTCTTTCAATTGTATTAATGTAAGAAATTCAAGATTTCTATCAACAAAGTGAGCCTCATAGCATATGCAAATTAGAAACTGAATCAACCCTACATACTTGATACATAATTCGTCAGCTCTCAGAATTTGCAGTTAAGATATTAAATTCAACCCCCATACTAGTCAAAGTCAAACAAACAGAATGTAAAGCTCACCAAAGTTTCTTTCATTTAAAATATCAGGAAGGATGCAAGTGCATATGCACACTCTATTTTTCAAGATAAAATGCTTCGCTAACCTAGTAAAGTTTCACTCAGTTGATCATAAATCATTCCCTTCTCAAATCACCTAGAAATTACCTTGGCGAACACGACATATATAACTCTTTTTTAAGGAAAAGAAAAGATAGATCATAAAACTAAGTTACTTCAAACATCCAGTGAGAGATATCATACCATGCTTCCAAATCCGATATATATGGGTTGTGGTCCTTTTTTAATCCACTGCACAAAATCTTCTCGAGGATGATACTTTGACCCCAAGTTCAAAAAACAGTAACCAACAACATCAACTAAAGGACCCCAATCTGCAAATTATTTCATAATGAATATCCTTAAATAATATTAGAATGACTGTCATTACAACGAGAAAAGAAAGTTTATGGGTATAGAATAAACATAATAAAGATAAAATTTACATCCACCATATCAAACAAAGCATTTAAGAGAGAGAAAGAAAGAGAGAGAGAGACTTGTGTAAAAGAATGTTAAAGTTACACCGAGAAAGTAATTCTTGTAGAACGACTGATGATAGAAAGAAGTATATGAGTAGGGAACAGGTAGAAGAAAAAAGAAACCATCACTTTAAGTAACCAAAGACACAGGTTGATAAACAACTATATAAAAGTTTAATATTAGGAAAGAGAAAGAAGAAATTCCTAAATATCTTTTGTTTATTCAAGGATTTCTTATCGTTGGAAAGTACCATCATTTAAGGAGAAAATTCATTGAAAAAGCACATGTAATGTAACATCACCACCTTTTGGCTTAGGCACAAGATGAGGACTCCACATGTAGCCCGTTGGCAAATGAGATATTGAACCATTATATGTACTGAAGTATGCGATAGGAGCAAGCTTCAACTTCTTTTTTCTGAAGTCATTAATATATCCCCTTATGCCCCACCATATAAGTAAGTCCACAACTATATAGGAAAGCTGAATCCAACAAGTACGAATGGACAGATTCGTCATTGCAAGTTGTCCAACAGCTAGTTCATAGGAGAAAAGGAAAAGAAAAGTAAGCTCAAAACCAAGGACTTACCCAGTATCCAGCATTCTGAGGTACACGAGCCAATGGATGAGGAAATTCATATGTTGGCCTGCCTATTCAAAACAGAAGTGAGAAGAATAACCTCACAAGTTTCCCCTTAATTTTTACATGTTTTAGAGTAATCAATGTATATAAGAAAGTACCCTCCATCTCCTTTAAAAATGATAGAATTCAATTATATTACATTATATTATATTTAGAGAAGGGATATGGAAGAAAAATCAAAAAAGAAAAGCCAACTCACGTCCAAGGCATGGTGAAGAATATGTGAAGGGGTACACCAAGAGCCTCAGCAACATGAGAATGTCCTGCATTCAGAAGTACATACACTTCATGCCAATAATACCTTAGAGATGAGCATTTGCACCTTATGAAATAAGGTGATATCAAAATTTGAATATGATAATTAACATTGTTTGGTATTGAAAAAAAATATCATATGGATTCACCATATGCTGGTGGGTTTGCAATGATTGCTTGTGCTCTGAATGGCATGCCCGTTTCTATATCAGGCTCTGTGCATGCAGGAAGAAGAGATTCAATAATGGACTTCAGTTGCTTTCTCTGTGTCGATATTTCCCCAGGTCCAGATGGGATCAGACCTTTATTTCTGGCCATATCTACCGTACACAATCATTCAAATGTATTAATACTATACAAACAACTTAAAGAAAAGTAAATAAAAGATGAAAATGAATAGAAAAAGAAAAGAAAGAGAAAAACTACAATAATCACAGCAACTTCATAAAATGAAATATGTTCAGAAATGTTAAGATCAAGCCAAGGACTCAAAACCAAAGAGAGTTTCGAGAAATTAGGTTTCCATGAGCTCAAGGTAAACAACAAGATGTACCTGCTTTGAATGAATATATAGAAAACAATGTCATAGTTCTTGAATGCTTGCTAGGATTTGGGGGAAGGGGCAGATAGAGAAGCAAAGGGAGGAGAGTGCTAGGTATTCTCTAGTTGAAAAGTACTTTAATTGAAACCAAGGTTCTGGAGGTGCACATGTATTGCTCAAAAGCCTCCAAACCTTCATCTTCTTTAATTAAAACCTCCAGAATGGAGGGATTTGGAGGGGCATGAAATTATTATTGTTGTTATGATACAAAAGTACCTTTATTTTGACATTCCATCTTGGAATATAAGAGAGAATTTATTTTCATTTCTAATCCTTAGCCAAATAAGTTTTGATGAGCCAATTTCAGGCAAATGTTCCATATTAGTTTTGTGTTTACATGAATTTGAACCTGAGCCAATTAATTAAATTTAAAAAAGCCTCGTTTCAGTATTTAGCCAAACACTGGCAAGCAGTATTTCAGAAAAATGTTCCATATTAGTTTGACAAGATGGGATTTATGTTTAAAAGCCATTACCAACAAAGATACCAACATAAATATGACAAATAGTAAGAGTTTCCACTTTCCACATTAGGAACTTACATCCAGCCAAAACCCGAGGATCACCTCCAAGAGGATAAAAGTCTATGTCTGCCAACTTTACAAAGTTGCGGAAGTTAGCATGAGTCGCTAACCTAACATGATGACCAAACTCCTGAAATAGAAAGTAAAAGATTTTCAAATTAAAACAAATAAACAAATAAAACGAATTGATCATATGACTTAGTATTACTTAAAATAAGGATATGTAATCTGATCTGGTGTCTGCTGATAAACTATGATATGGATCAATCGTTCTGGTTTTGCATGTAGGTGTTATTAGGCCATAATAATATTGGGTTTCATAAGCACCATTCAAGTTCATGCTCTATGACTCACAGGTGCATTTGACATATTTAGTTGTGAAGAAAGCTAATTCTTTCTAATCATATTAGCATAGATCCAATTCTAAAACAACGAAATACATAAAGGGATACCATAAGAAATCAGTGCAATAAGATGAATCAACAAATGATGTTAAACATACCTGAAGTCTCTTTGCCATAGCCACAAAAGGTTGTACATCTCCTCTTGTTCCAACCACAAGTATGGCAATATTCAACCTCGGTATAGATTTACTAGTTTCAAAGAATGAAGTATCATCAAGATCAAAGGGTGCCCCTTCAAAAGAAGAAAGTTCTAACAATTCCGAAGCTACGGGTGAATTTTTAGCTAGATCAACTTCCACTGTCCCGTCATTTTGGATCTTGATAAGGTTAACAATGAGATTTTTCTGCGGAATGAACACCAAAAATGATGAGAATTGTGAACAAAAAAAAAAGAACAAGTATCACGAGCCACAGAGAGAACATAAAGGCCAAGGAAAAAGGGACAAACCCATCGTGTAAGTCTCTCGATCACCTGAAAGAAGGATCACTTCATCAACAAACCAAATTGTAAAGTTTAACATGGTAATAAAATACTCAATAGTTTTAAGCTTTCTTGAGAGAAAATCCCCTGCCATAATTAACCAAGCTACTATCTTCTGACAACATAGCAAAGCAATACAATAGTAAAACAGATACAGCATCTAACATACATTTATACCAAAATCCCAAATACGCAGATTTCCAGTTGTTTTGAAATGATGTCAACTCATGTATGAGCAGGAAGGAAAATGTAAACTACAGCCAGATAAATGTAACTCAGTTATCTACCTTCCGCTCCGAGAGTCTATCTATTTTTAGATCAAGTCTTGAAGTTTTCTTCTCTGTCATTGACCTAGCGACTTTAATCTCATTGGCATCGATTAACAGGTTTTCATGAGCACCAACTGGTGCAGTGATACAATAATCCAGGCCTTCAAGAGAAAATAATTTGACATCAGACTGTTGAACTTTACAACATGAAAAAAAAGAAAAGAATCTCTACTGTTTCGGATCAACTAGCCCAGAACTGCAGAAAAATCACACTCACAGTGACCCTTTTTTAATACTCCATCCCTGTTTGTCTCGATAAAATTTATCAAAATTTAACTAAAGTTAATAACATTGTTTATTTTAGCCGAAAATAGGGCATTGCATATAGATATTACACGACAAAAGGAATGGTTTATCAAAATGCATAATGATATTTATAGTCGTTTGCATAATTTAGAGTTATTCAGTGAAAAAAAATATCAAAAGAAGGATTTTTTGGTAATTTGCAATACTTTCCTTGCAACACATCCGTAAAGTAAATAAACATCTTCCTTATGATTTCTATGCTTGTTAATTAAGATATTCAGCTAATATTGTTTACTTTTATACATAACACAAAAGAGTCAAGCAGGAGGTAAAATTTGCCACCCTTTAGTTGTTACCCTATGTCGTCAAATCAGACATAACAAAATGCAAGTTCCATGGGGACATTAGAGTAATGTAACCATGACATCATGGAAGAGAGGCACCCTGAAGATTAATCTTGAATTTGAAGATCGATGATCAATCCCAAATTTCCTAGCAGAACTGACAAGGTACAACTCACAAGTCACATCGATGAGTAAAGAAAATCAGGAGAGTGAGGAGACTGAAAATACTAACCTCTTCTGGGTGTAGATGAGGCACTCAATTCTTCCATCCTGGAAACCTCTATAACTGATGCCTTCTGCTCTAAACTTGGCTTCTGGTTCTCTTCAATTTCATAAGAACTTGAAGAAGATTGCTCATCAGAAAACTTATAATCCATTGTCATGGATTCGTCTACTTCTTTTGTCTGTTCACACTCCTTAACCACTCCGCTATTAACAACATTTTCCTCTTGTAAATCTTTCCTTGGATTACCAATCCCGTTACTCCCCATTGTATCCAATGCAAAGCTTCAAGTCCTAATCCCCAAACAGAACCCTCTAAAATTTAGTTCTCAATGTCCAAGTACAACAGTTTAATAAACTAATGCCTCAAACGCGAAAGAACCAAATTCAAAACTAAAACCCACTATGCCTACAACTTCAAAGATTTCACATTTAGCTGAGTGACTTAAAAGCTTAATCACTGAGGAAATCCAAGTTGACCCAAATACTCTAAAAATCTGCAAACAATAGTTCCCAAAAATTAAAATTCTCGCTACTTCTAAACATTACAGCTGTAAAAAGAAAGAAAAAGACACTCGGAAAAATAAAACAAAAGAAAAACCCAGAACAACAAAATCCTGAAGAAACATATAATTAGGTCCAGAACCTTGGAAAGACCAATTTATATAAGAAACAAAATAACTAGTAGACGTCAAACTCCAAAGAGATATTAATAAGGAATCAGGCTCTTGGCTGATATAATTAACAAATTCGAATGACCAAGGGAAGGGGGAAAATGAGCTAACAAATGAAACAAAGGGACAGAACAAAGCATCAACCAGTCAAATTAACCAAAGTATCGTAGAACGTTAGGTGAAAACGCTCTCCAGCAGTGAACCAATGCATTCTTAACGAAAATTAAGGAGAATTTCACGTTTTCTAGCACCAAACTAGACTAGTGAATAGAAAAATACATATATAGTAGCTATAAACGGAAGGCATGTATATTTGCATTAAATGAAGAAAAGCGAATTGCTACTCTGCAATCAGTACTCACCTCCACTGGAAATATCTGTTCATATTCTCAAAATCAAATATATATTTGATAATTAGCCGTGGAAAATGGGAGAATTCAAGGGGTTTGGGGTTTTAAAGTGAGGACGATGTTTTTTGATTGACGATCGCATTGAAGGCAGAGGCTGTGTCGTGCAAGAAGAAGAAACTTCAGTGTCTCTCAATTCCGCTAACAAACTGAGTAATTAACTTGGATTAAGGTTTAAAATAACCAAATACGTGTAATTAAATATTACTGGATTAGTCTATTAATAGATTAAATTTTACTGATTAATTAAAAAAATACTACTGGATTTTGTAGAATACTTTATTTTCAATAATTTTCATATTTGAACTGTTATTATCTTAGGGTTTAATAATAGTTAATAAAGATTTTAAATAAATATTGTTTTATAAATATTTTAAATTATTCAAATAATAATAATAATAATTTTTATATTTTAAATTTAAATTATAAACAGTTTAATAATTAGTTTATTATTTTTAAAAAATTACTGTAACTTTTTTTAAAAAATATATTTTTATAAATATATTGGATTTTATTACAATTATTTTTTTATTAATGATTTTATTACAATTATTGTTTTTATTAATGATTTTTATTACAATTAGATATAAATGAAAGGAAACATTTTTATACAACTCCTTCCTTAATCATTAAGTGATTCATTACTCAATTTTGTCAATATTCGAGAGTTGGTAGGGGAAAATTATATAAAATATTATTAAATTCACATCAAAGAGATTATGCACAAATCTTTATTCAATTCTTAAGATCACAAGTTTTATAAGTAATTAAAATCACGAGTTTTAAATGTTTATGATTTAATTTTTCTTTGGACTTTAGTCTAATTTTCAATTTAACTCTCGTATTATTTTCCATAAATCATCCCATATTATTATTTTATTTAGTATTATTAAAAAATTGTGTGATCCAACTAGACCATATGATATGTATAATAAAAATTAAGAAACTCAGAAAATATAAAAAAAATACATAATGTTTATTTTTATCAATTCAAGAACTGCATTTCATCTACTATCTATTGTAAAAGTCATATAACTTTTAGTACGGTATTGATTTAGTCATCTCCGTTAAAAATTATTAAACACTTAATGACATCTTGACTTAGTACATAACGACACATTTCATCACTACACTCAAATTATAATGTTTGTTACATGGGTTTTTATATAAAAAAATTCAATTATATTTATTTTAAATTATACTAATTATAATATAAAATATAATCAATACAATAATATTATACATAATTACTAGTATACTTTTTGGCTTTGGTTGAGGATTTCTCTTATAAAATTTGATTTTATTAATATCGTAAGTAGAGACATATATATGATTTTATTTATGATGAAATTTTAAAATTTTAAAACAAGGTAAATTTATAAAATTCTAGAAGACTAAAATAGTTTGTCAATATAAAATATAAAAAAATCTAAAATATACGATAATTTAAAATTTTCACGAAAGCGACTATTCTTAATCACTCCGTCGATCCGTTACTGATCACTAATAAGAATAATATCAACAAAAAGATAATAATATTTGAAAAGATTATAAAAATTATTATTTTGAAATTTTGATTTGAAGACTATAATGACAACTATAGGTTAATAAATTAAGTATTTTTTTTAAATTATCATGATTTTGCCCGTTCATACATTTTTCACTTTCAGTAAATATATATTTTTATTGGTTAATATATGAATAAAAATGAAAATAAATAAATAAATAATATAAAATTAAAAAATATATTTAATGCTATCGGGAATCCTTTGTTTGCCATCACTTAATTTGTATTTGTAAGATATTTATTATTAATATTATTAAGAATATTATCGAATAGGAGAATGATTTGCAATTAAGATGGTTTGAACCCACGTCATAGTGGGAAAAGAGTGAACACACCAACCAGTTAAACAGAAAAATTTTAGAGTACGACACCTTTAATATATAATTAAAAAATGATATTATTTTTCGGTAACGTTTTTTTTAACCGTATATTAAGACTATCGCACGTGATCATTTCCCAATCAAACAATCTCATTTGTCACAACAAGTTTTATTTATATTGAAATATTGTTCATGGTAACAGAAAAAAGAAATAAAGGTTTTTAAATAAGGATTCTAACTTTAGGTCAATTATAAAATAAAAGAGTCTTTAAATCACTTATTCAAATCTAATATTTTTCTCATCTTAGTTTAATAAAAAAATATAATATTTTATTTATAATTAAATATTATATATATTATAAAATATTAAAAGTTTAAAAATCAATAATAATATTATAAAACATTAAAAGATAAAAATAAATAATTTATTTTAAAATTAAAAGCTATAACATACAATAAAAACTATTCCAACCGGCAACCATTAATAATTCTATATATGGATTTATAAAAATACATATAAAAATATTAAATTTAGTTCAAAATTATAAAAATCTTAATTTTATTTTTATTTTAAATGTTACATTAACTATAATTTAATATATAAATATATATATATGTATGTAATATTTACTTATAAATAAAATGTTAGATTTATTTAAGTGGTTTAAATATTTTTTATTTTCTAATTGGTTTACGTTCAAATTCTCATTTAAATATTTTTATTTTTTCACAATTAATAATATTTTAAGATAAATAAAATATGTTGTAGATTTTAGATACACAAACATCTTTGGCCTAGTGGTGGGGATGCTCTCTTCTATCCGTGGGGTTGAACATTCAAACCCTCATAAGAACAAATCCTTCTCCCATTTTATTTTCACTTGGCTAAATTTTTATTTAATTAAATAAATTAAAAAACTCCAATAAGGTAATAACACATGTCATGATTGTAACACCACAAAATTTTGGTTAGTGATCAAAATGTAAAATTTTAAAAGTTTAGTGATTAAAATATAAAGGTTAAAAAGTTTTGGGACCAAAAAGATAATTTTTAAAAATTTAGAGACCAAAAATATAATTTTCAAAAGTTAGGTGTTTTGAACCTAGAAATAAATAGTTCACCCTCAAGCATTAGGTTTTGGTGATAATCAAAACTTTGATCCGAAATTTATATTACAACAACAACAACAACAACAACAACAACAACAAAACCCAATTCCCATATGTATGGGGTAAGAGGGAGGTAGGGTAGTAGGCTGCCCCCAACGCCAGGTTGAGAATAGCTTCCGTGAAAGACCTCCGACAGTCAGAAAATTAAAAATATAGATAAAATGCAATGCATGTATAAATAATTACATAAATACATAGCTAAACAGTATTCATATGCAGTCATTAATACCATATGTGCTTCTGTAATGGGGAGTAATCCCTGCAAAATAATCCATGCGAAAGAATCTCTGCATATAGACAGAAACATAAGACCCGGCTAAATTTATACAGAGGAAACATGACGAGAATGATACACAGAAGACAACGATATCAAGCCCAATTCTAATCTTTTCATAAATACCAATAACAGAAAAGTATAAAAAGTAAAAGTCATGGAAATTACTACAAATGCCTTTAAAAGAAGACAAAGATGATACATCCTATAGATGTGACCCACACTACTCGACTACCCTAGTCTTAAGCCTCCATAATTTCCTATCATAGGTCATGTCTTCGGTAAGGCCTAAATCCATCAAATCAGATCTCAAGCAGTCATCCCACTTCCGCCTTGGTCGTCCTTTCCTTCTGGCACCGTCGACTGTAATCGACTCTACCCTCCTGACCGCATCCGACGGTAGTCGCCTAAGGACGTGCCCAAACCACCGTAGTCTTCCCTCCCTCAATTTTTCGGAAACAGACACCACCCCTAAGGACATCCTATTAGCAGAGTTTGTCGTCATATCCCACAGAGTCCTACCACATGTCCATCGAAGCATTCTCATTTCTGCGGCCTCTATCCTCCTTACGTGATCCTTCTTGGGTGCCCAACATTCTGATCCATACAACAGCGCTGGTCTTATTGCCATTCTATAAAATTTTCCCTTAAGTTTTAGAGGCACCTTCTTGTCACACAAAACTCCACTAGCGGCCCTCCACTTTAGCCATCCCGCCTTTATACGGTGTGTAACGTCATCATCTACACCCCCATCTTTATGTATCATAGACCCTAAGTACTTGAAACAATCCTTTGAGGGAAGAACGTGTCCTCCTATGCATACTTCTACATCTTCATCGTTTTGGTTCCCATTGAAGTTTGAACATAAATACTCTGTCTTTTCAATATTGATCCTTAAACCTTTTTCTTCCAGAGCAGTCTTCCAGGTAGCCAGTCTACTATTCAACTCAGATTTTGTTTCAGCAACTAGGACAATGTCGTCAGCGAAAAGCATACACCAAGGTACACCGTCTGGTGTCGCACAATAGATGTCGTCCATAATCAAGGCGAAGATGTAAGGGCTAAGAGCCGACCCCTGGTGGAGTCCGATTTCCACCGGGAATGCCTCGGTGTCACCAACTGTAGTCCTGACGTAAGTAGTAGATCTACAGTACATATCACGAATCGCCCGGATATAAGCAGTTGGTATCCGTCTCGTTTCCAAAGTCTTCCAGATCGTATCGCGAGGAACGCTATCATAAGCCTTCTCAAGGTCAATGAACGCTATGTGAAGATCTCTATACTTTTTCCTATATTTCTCCATAAGCCGTCGAAGTAGATGAATCGCCTCCGTGGTAGACCTGTTTGGCATAAAGCCAAATTGGTTTTCCGAAACCCTAGTAACTTGTCTCAACCTAGCCTCTATCACCCTTTCCCATAGCTTCATGGTATGGCTGAGTAGTTTAATACCTCTGTAGTTACCACAACGTTGGGGATCTCCTTTATTTTTATAGATTGGTATCACCGTAGACTCTCTCCACTCCTCTGGCATCTTGGCAGTCTCTAAAATAATATTAAAGATGTTGGTCAACCACTTAACTCCCTCATCTCCTAGGGCTAACCACACAGTGATAGGAATTTGATCAGGACCGACAGCTTTCTCCCTTCCCATCTTTCTAAGAGCCATTTTGACTTCCTCAAACCCAATCCTACTTGTAGGGCAGTCATTGGCCGTAGTATGATGGTCGGCTGACCCATCAACGATACTATCTCTACATGGAGAGGCACCGTCATTAAATAAGCCAAAGAAGTAACTACCCAAACCCTCTTAAT